TCCATTTAATATCGTATGCCTCTAGAATAGCAAGTTTCAGAAGTTCACCCTGCTGGACTAGGGGTTAAAGTTCACCCTGCTGGACTAGGGGTTAAAGTTCACCCTGCTGGACTAGGGGTTAAAGTTCACCCTGCTGGACTAGGGGTTAAAGTTCACCCTGCTGGACTAGGGGTTAAACGTAATCTGTCCAGAACTTGTCTCTTTTGTCATACAACACTGTATATTTAACATGTTGCTTGACTGTTGACCAACCAGAGGGGAGTCCCCAGCTCTAGCAATTGTGGACGAGTAAATATTCTTCCATTGCAACGATCCATTACTTGCCATCCTTCTAACCCATGATTCTTCACGGTCCAATTTACATTTCAGTGCAAGAATTACCCGACAGTCAGCCTTCATCATACATCTAGGAGAAGCTAGGCAATGTGACTCCAAGTAAATACCAGAAAGGGTAGGTATTCCCAAAACTTGCTATGGATAAAAGCAGGAGTCACACCTGTGATGCCATCCTTTGATTGTACTTGTACGGATGGTCTAATGTCTGAAGCTGTCTGTCGGTCAATTCATGCACTGTAAGTAAATAATAGACCGTGGGTTGCGAATCGAAAACGTTCAATTCTGTGACCCACCAATTCAGGCTACCTGGCTTTTGCACAAAAATGTCAATACTATTAAATTGTAACATAATCTGATTGTCGGCAATCATGAATTCGGGGAAACTGTAACCAAAAATGAGAATTTATATCAAAAGTTGCTACGTAACTATAGCCAATCAGAAGACGACTAACAATGAAGTTTGGCTTAGCTGCAAGGCCCTCAGCCAATCACAAACTACCTTCTATGCCGTTTGTCCAATGTAAATAGTAAACAACACACTCCACTAATTGCAAGTATGGCGTTGGACAGAAGTTCTTCAAATGATAAATCTGAGCCGGTTTCAGGCATATTTTTGTGCTACATGTTGTAAAAACCTAGAGTATGGTTGTGTCATTAAGCGTAAACAGCTTAAAGAAATTTAAGGATGTGCAACTCTGTGGAAAACAACAAATACAAGTCCTCGGTAAGGCCTATTAAGTTTCCGTTGAAGCTGATGAATAGCCTAAATATATAACGAAGGGGATCTCAAGGATGGTGGTGCAAGTAGTAGTAGTCAAAATTCCACCGAATCTGTTTAAAGGTATGTGTGTGGTTACATATAACGTTTAAAATGGTATGGTATGTTTTAGTTAATTGAGAAGCACTAAGCGTCTCTCAATCACACCACACACACAGACAGGAAGCCCTGCCTTTTCCTCAAACTGGGGTACTATCGACAGCAAAATAACCACAGAGTATTGTGAATCAAATACGATGATGATATATTGTAAAACATTTTGAGACAATAATGTTGGCAATGAATCGACCAGCATAAACAACTGACCATGAAGAAAAATCAAGAATAGCCATCCACAAATATATAGCAACTATTTACTACTGTCTACCAAGAACAATTACTACACAAATTGAATCAATTCAGTTTTTTGGGGTGGGGGATGTGCCCTTATATTAATAGTACAGTATGCTTTATCTACATAGGAATCCTTAGACACAACATAACAAACAATATATTAATTAATAGGTATCAAAACTGACTTAAGCAAATAATATTTATCAACATTTTGATGTCCAATTAAACATCACCACCAGCATTTAATATTGTATAATTTATTACTTATCAGACAAAAATCAACTGCAAAGGATAATGTAATGAATCGTTTGTCTCCCATATTACAACCATACGACGTTTCATATTCTTTTAAGAACTGGATTATAGGGTTGAAAACGGTTAAAAAGATGATCGGAGAAAGTAGGTCTCCTTGGAACACTTGAATTTAAAGGGAGCTGATTCCCAGTTTGGGCCCTTGACAGTGCCCTGTACTTTAAGATTGTTAAAATAGAAGGCATAATTATAGGAACCAAGTGCTCGCCAATGCATACATGCAACATAAAATCTTTCCCACTCTCTACTCATGACCAGATCCCTTAGTAACTCCCGGCAGGAAGAAACTTATAATAGTTATTTTAAAACCAATCAAATTATTTGATGATAATAATAAAGTTTTGTAAAATTGGTAAAACCTTAAAACTCTATGAAGATTTCTAAGTTTGGTATTTAAAAAATGATAATTACTGGCTTCTGATTAAAAAGAATATGAGGCATGCCGTGGCGAAATGGTTAAGTTGTCACACAGGCCAGTACTGATAAGCTTTAAAATATGGGAGCCCAAAAAATTTCCTAAAAATCCAATTTTTTTTTGACTATAGATCAACAGTTTAATGTCCCAAAGTATTATTTCTGGAAGTGGTCAACAAATCATTTTATAATGTTATTTAGATAGTTAATTCTATTATTAAACAATGTATGCACAAATAGTTTTGAAAGGCAATTACTCAAATCATGTTTATCTTGACTCTAAGAGTACTGTACTTTCATTTTCCAATAACTCAGGCTTGAAATGTCCAATTTCACATACTCAGGTATCTGAAAATACCAATGACTTGAATTTCAATTTTTGCTACAACTTAGCCCTTTTGCCACAACATGCCTCATATACAAGGATACTTTATTCATCCCACTGCAGGGAAATTTCATGGCTGTATACAACAATATGGAAAAGCACAAGACTATTTACTAATCATGGTATAATAATAATATTAGTAATAATAAAACTAATAATAATAACTATAATAATTATAATATTATTAACAATAATATTAGTTATGATATATTCAAATTAATTTGTTATAATCAATACTGGCCACCCACATTAAAAACCCTCTACGTCTGATGTTTAGTATTGAAGTCCCTAATTCCTCTGGGGAGGAAGGAGAGACGATGGCGTTCTGTAGAGACCTGCAGTAGCCTCAGTCTACCGCTACGTTCAATGTAACAGTTGGCAATATTTGAATGAAGGGGGTGACTTACATCAACCCATATCGAACAGAATGTCTTGCACAACCGTTCTCGGTAGACTGAGTCCTCCACGGGCAGCTCACACCCAACCATCCTCCCTGCCCTCCTCACCAGTCTATCTATCCTATCCCTATCAAGTTTATTTACATTCCCACCTCAAGCCAATAAGCAATATCCCCAAACAGAACCAATTACTGATAAATAAACATATTCAGAATTTGACTACACACATCGAATGAATACAGTTTTGCAGTGCCTTCCAGATAGGCATATATTTTTTCAAGTTAGAGTATGATAGCATCTTCCGTATTTCTAAAACTTGATGATGATATGCAATCATCAAAACATTTCCACCCACTGGAGCCCACTGGGCAACTTCAACACACAGCACACATTATACTACGGCATAATTTAGTTTTGCTTTTTGCTCATTTGCATCCAACAAAACATTTAAGTAGGCAGAGTAAAGTCAAGTGATGTATAATTTAGTAACTTTACACAATATACTTACAGCTGCTCTACATCTACCATTGTGCAGTTTATCGTCCTTGGCTAATTTCATCAGACAGTGTAGTGTTTTGCCCTCTCGTTGAAGTCCTTCACAATCTGTACCAATATTTTCACGACATGCTAGTATGATCCGTGGGTTTATCATGTAGTCCTCCATCAGTTGCTTACGCATGTCAAATATCTCACCTTGGCAATCTCCACTCACCTTCTTGCCTGTAGAGGTGGGCAGGTTGATGTTATCAATTATAACAACAAATATGATTTTGTATCAAAAACATACTCAACCAATGAATAGACCCTAAGGCCTATTTATTATACACAATAAACAATCCATATTTACTCATTCAAACAAAAACACAGAATTTCAAATATAAGGATCAATGCCATGCCCAAAACTATCTAAACATGAAAATACAGAGCAATATAATAGTGTATTATTTTTGAGTTTGTAAGTTTACAAACTTGGTGTGCACACACATACCCACCCACCTGCATTTCATCAAGTCAATTCCTGTGCTTCCTATACTGCTACACACAGGAACTAAAAATTGAGTTTGGGTTAGTATTTTTGCAGCATAGTAAATGTTCCACAGATAAATTTCCGAAAAAAAAACTATACAGTAGAACCCCTCATTTACGTACGGCACGGGCCCAGAGCCGTTCGTAAATTCGGGTATTCGTAAAATCGGGGTTGACCCAAATTCCTATATATTTGCACTGATACTACTTACACTGGCATAAGTCTGAGGGGGCCTAGGCCTACAGTTGGCAGCTTCTGAGCATTCTGATCCCACTCTAGGCCCTGCACAAATTTGTTTTTATCGGACATTTTTACCTTCTTAAATACCTAGATCGTGGATTTTATTCCAACACAACTTCCATAGATACTTGTTTATTATATATATTGATCATTCAATAAAACAATCAAGCACTATGTTGAATTTTAAGGCTGAAAACGATGTTTGAAAGAGAAGTACAATTTTTCGCATGCACATGTGTGAAGCCATAAAAAACTTTGAAGAGGCCCGTGTTAGAGGGCCTCCTTCACTTGAGAATTACACAGTACTGTATAGTATGGTGTGTTGTGTTGTATGCATGGTAATAATAGGTACAATTCAATTCGAGCGGGTTTCTTTTTTTATAAATCTTTCGCTTCAATTTTTATGACGTCATCACCTTTATATTACGTTCGTAAAATCGGGAATTCGTAAATGAGGAGTTCGTAAATGAGGGGTTCTACTGTAGTAGGCATTTTAACAAACTATTGAACATCTATTAGATGTGGCCAACAGGAGAAACAATATGAAGAAGTAGCAAGAATTTCCTATATTGAGAATCACTCACTTACTGTAGTTTCTTTACAAATACGATACCCATGGCTCCTATTCCCGATGTCTATTTAAAAATGACAAAAAATTAGACATATGCTTCAAACAAAACTAAAATGATAAGCTGACCTTGTTTAATGTTCAGTTCTAGGCACAATAAGATGACTGAGAGTTTGATGTTTTGGTCTTTTGGCTTTCTGGCATCACATTGGAACTTCTTAATCTCAGGCTTGCACTTGCGCTGAATATTTACATTCACTTTGTAGTCTTCAACCGTTAATTTCTGCTTCTTTGTCAGCTCAATTCGACACTGAAATAAATTCTCTTATATTGATTTGTGATTTGAACAAGTTGAAAATATTTTAAACATGCCTTATTGGAATTGTGCTAAATTTGTAATTCAGAACCCACAACCTATAGTAAAATATTTCACAATTCATTTCAGTTAATTCTTTTTAGTTATTTGAATTCTGATAATTTTTGTTTCATTAGAATATTTTCTTGGGACTTCATTAACATGTTACAGTAGAACCTCAATTTTACACATGGTATTGAACTGGAGGGAGTATGAAAATCAGGGATTCGTATTAAATCAAGGCTGAGTTAAATATGTATGTAGCTCATCTATTTGCACTTAGGCATGTGTTCTCAGTGACATTCGGTAATGAGGTCAAATTGGCTGATAGCTGGCGCCCAGGCACTGGAGTTCAAAAAAGATCTGGCATTTAAAGTGTTAAACAAAGAATAAAAATTAAAGATGGAATGTAAATGGAAAAAAATGACTTAAACCAACCTCTTCCTTCATTTCTCTTTCAAATTTATGTTTCATTAGACACTTGTAAATTTTCCCCTGTCCGGCAGTTACGTCATCGCAAAAACGGTCACGATCTTCACGGCAGGCAAAGTATAGAGATCGATCAAGATGGTAGTCGTTTGCAGCAAGCTCGGCAACTCGTAGCACTTGCTTCTTACACGGTTCATGTAGCTTCCCTGTGTTTTCTTCTAAACAGTTGACCACAGCTCCTTGGGAGTGTGGAAGACGACGACCCTGAATTGAAGAAAATAATTTTAGTCTTCAGATTTTGAAGTTCATAGTTTAAAAAATAAGAAGGAATTCCATTCTGATGCAGTATGAAATTACAGAGTAAAAAGCTGGTCAATGAAAGTTTTCTTTATTTACAAATAAAAAGATTTTGACAAATATCCAACAGCTAATAAATACACCAAAAAGTCCAGTATTATTGCAAAAATTAACACAGAAAAACCCTTTACAATTAAAATTGATTTAGAACACAGGTGGACAAAGTTTCGGCCTGTGTGCAACATGCGGTCAGACGGCAATTTTCTTGTGGCCAAAAATATAATAAAAAAAACCTATTTGTGCGGCAAGCCTCCCATCGTTGGCTTGAAAACCTTTCTATTATGGCCTGATGCCTAAAATCTGTAAAAAATTAACATTAATACTGATTCAGGTGTAGAAAAAAATAGGAACGAGGTGGCGTAGCCACCAGTGGGGAAGGTGGGGGGGGGTAGCTGTAGGCCCTCGCGACGCCACCTAGGCCTAGACTAGACATTGTCCCGGAGGCGCGCGTCCCGGAGCTAGAGCCTCTTAGCACCGTGACGATGTCAGGCCTAGAATGGGCCAAGCCGCGCTAGGCCTCGGGGTTGAACAACAAATCTATTCTATTTCCTGCACGGTTCCTTCATCTTTCCACTTCACAAATTTTAGCGAAGCCATGGTTTAATTAATTTATCGAATTAATTAAATACAAAAGCAAGCAAAAACGAGAACAATATAATTCCGAAACGGTATAACGGGCGGCGAATGATATGACGCATGCTTTCTTTGCAAGCTCGATAGACACACTATAGTTCCGACCACCGGATGAATAAGATTGCCATTATATATAACGCGCTTGTAGTACATGGCAGCAAAGAGTATATATATACTCTTTGATGGCAGTAACGTAAGAGAACCGACCGTCGGTTAATTAATATCACTATAGCACCACCAACATGGTGAATTTTGCATGTTTATTTTAAATGAAGTTTTAGAGAGGAAGATGAAAAATGATTACACGATATTACGAACCGACCTCCACCACCAATACCACCCTTACGCCCCCCCAAAAAAACTCCACGAATTTGACATATCGAGAAGTCAATTCCATGTTTAAAAAATCGGAAATCCGATTTAAATCGAAAAAAAAATATCATCCCTGTGATTATAAAGGTTTTTGCAAGCACATAAAAAAAGATACAATTTTCACCATGGGTTTGCCTGTGGCAATCAGTGTTCAATGAAAAATTCAGTTTGGCCCTCTGGTCTGACCCATTTTAATACCCACCCCTAATCTATAACAAAGTAACAATTACACAGGTTTGCTTTTTGGTAATGATACCACTTGTGCAGCGCTCGATATATACTATCATGCTCGCAGAAATTCTTATCAGTAAGGTGGTACTTAATGGTACTACACAGTATTAATATTTTAAAGAGAAACTTAAAATCTGCAACACCATTTAACCCGCAAAAATGTGGATCTAGGTGCAAAAAGAATACAATTCAATGTTTTCGCTTACCTTTTTGTCCACTGTTGGGGATAAGACATCTCCACAACTGGTGGTTTCGATGTCGTCCCTACAGGTGTCATAGAACCCTTTTATCAACCGGTAATCACTGAAGGTAATTGCCATCATTCTTTTGAGATACTGAAGACACTGTGGTGCCGTCACATTTTCCAAATGTTCATAAAGACATGGAAGCACTTCACCACGGCCTTTAGGAAGACTGCTGCAATCTGTGAGCTGAACAGAAACTAGAAATATTATTACACAATTATCAATTCTGGTTATCTTATATTTTTTTGCTCCAAAACATAAGATAGTAATTAACAGGGAAATATCGAATTTGTCAATTCCAATGCCATTATTTGAATATTGATTTCAGTTGGGATTGTATACCTGGCCACCTGAATTTGTATACTGCGTACAATGGGCTTACGATTGATTCAGAGACTAATGCATTTCCTACATGCTTGACGCGTTGTTCCACAGGCTTATACTACTGTAGTTGGATATTATTTGTCCACTTAAAACAACATGGTTGATGTATAGATTGAAGACCAAATCAAGAAATTGTGGTAGACCAGGTCAGTATTACCCCAACCATGTTGCATTTTTATGTGAGCTTGTTCTTTGTGGTGACGTGGAAACAAACCCAGGTCCTGAAAAGGTGAAAATTTATTACCAGAATGTCTGAAGTGTGAAAAAAAAGTTAGAGGATTACAGATCAGTTTTGTGGGCTAACTTGGTTAAGACAAGTATGATGTGGTAGCCTTGTGTGAAACCTGGCTGAATTCTTACGTTGATGATGGTGAACTCAGCTCCCCTGGTTATATGCTGTACCGTCTAGATCGTGTGAATAGACGTGGTGGTGGATTGTTAATACTTGTTAGTGAAAAATACAAATCAACAAGACTATTACAATATGAAATTCGAGGCAGTGAGCTTATGTGGACAGAACTAAAGGCATCCTGTAGAAAAACGTGCATTGTTGGTCTTTATTACAGACCGCCAAATTCTAATATCGACCAAGAGCTTCTTTATCAATCTCTTAAGCTCATATCCGAATCTACAATGTCTGAACTCTGCTTGGTTGGCGATTTTAACCTCCCTGACTTTCAGTGGAATGACGACGAAAGCCATAATTATACAAATAACTCTGCTATTAATTTGTGCTTCTCTGATCAAATTGTTAATCATTTTAACTTATATATATAATTTATTAACTACACGTGGTAAACACATTTTGGACCTTGTACATTGTAATAGTATAGTAATTTTAAATCTAATTGCAGTGTTTCTGTTGGGGACACGATATTTGAGTCTGATCATGTTTCTCTACTGTACACGTTGAGCTCGACTTCGATTCCTGTTCCCAACAGAGACATTGTCATAGGACTACAGTAGAACTACAGTAGAACCTCGATTTTATGTATGGTGCGGGACCGTAGGGCGTACATAAATCGGGGGATTCGTAAAATAGAGGTTGGGTTAAAATTGTGGTAACCTTTGACCTAATATGTAGGTAAAGCTCATTAAACGTATGTATGAATGAAAGATGTTACCTAGGCTAGACCTAGCCTCTAGGCCTACGAATAAAGCCTTTTGTTTAGTGTTTTTATTCATCACTTTACGATGTCATAATAAAGTGTTCAAATAAAACCATGTCTCTAGTGTATTAATTCATCACTTTATATCTTTTATTTAACTAAAGAACATGAAAATATTGTAATTCCTATACGACAAAGGTATAACTTGGGAATTCCCCTTCATGCCAGTTCTAAAAAACAGAGCTGTGGTGTTGTCTGGGCCTGTTGAGACAAACTAAAACCATGTGCGCTGCACTGGGCGAGCCAACCAATTAGCGTTCGTGTACGAAACTATGTCTACCCAGCTTCGTGTAAAAAAATTTGACCAGACAAGATTTTCCATGGTTTGCCACACGAAGCTAAGGAGGAAAGCAATTATTTTGAGCACCATCGGTAGTTGTTCATCTCACTCAGTTCACGTGGTTTTAGATTACAACAACCCGATATTAGACTCAATCAACGTTGCTGTTTAATGAAAATACGTTGCATTATGGTTTGTTTATTGTTATAGTTTATTGTTATAGTCTTTTTACTTATGGTTGCTCTGAAAAGGGCAGTTTGTTTTAAATATTTTTGGGTTTTTTGGTGACGTCATCGTCGATACGAGGCGTATGTAAAACCGAGGGTTCGTATAACTGGGGTACGTAAAATACCCCAGGTCTGATATGTGCAATATTTTTAACTGTACACCATGGAAAGTTGTACGATAATATGATGATGTTAATGAATGTCTTGATGTGTTTTATAATCTTGTCTTAGCTACTGGTTCGATAAAGACCTCCGAAAAGCTATAAAGGCCGAACAAAGTAAACATAAACTGTTTAGGCAGTACCAAACTAAATTTCATCACGATGATTTTAAAAATGCTCGTAGATCTTTTAAACAACTCTGTAGGTAGTACTCAAATTATGCTACATCTTTATTACAAAAGCTCAATGAAAACCCTAAACGCTTTTGGTCCTGGGTTGAAAGTAATTATAAGCAAACTGCTCCATCTTTGCTGCATTATGGAACCACTAAAGCTGCTATTAGCAACTATTTTTAACTTATTTGCTCACTCTGTTTTTACTGACATTCAAGTCACAGCCTTTCCAGAACTTCCTGAATACTCAATAGGTTCTCTTTCAAATATTTCAGTTGATTTAAATCATGATGAAAAAAGGTCAGTGTGACATAGTAGGATGCTGGGTATGTTTTGGCAGCACTGTAAAGAGCTAGATAGTAGCACCAAACTTCATCTTTATATTTCTCTTGTTAGACATATTTTTAATTTTTCATCTACGATTAATAATTCTATTTGTATTTCTCAATCAAATTGCATAGAACGAGTTCAATCCAAATTTATGTATTTTATTTTTTTTTTATTAATCATAACAACGTTAATGCCCCTATTCTCTTACCACTTCACACTAGATGGGGCACGTTTGATATGGTCTTCCTTTACAAATGTTTTAACTTGCTTTTTACTTGCCTTCTTTTATCTTTATTTATGTTAAAAATACAAAGGCCCAATTCACGCAACACTGACTTATTCTCTGTGCCCCTTAGCCGGGTCAATGCTACTAAAAACGGTTTTATTCAGACACTATTATAACTATAATACCATTACACGTTAACAATACCACTATTGACATATTTTTTAACAGTACTTCCACGTTTAAATCCAAGGTTGCTAATTCAGTATAGGCCTTCTATATTGTCGATTTGCTTCCTTTGTATGTTATTGTTTGTATTTTACTATATTTTATATATTGTATGTTTAAGACATCCTGTAATGGGCAATTCCGCTGTTGGATGTACTTGAAATAAAATAAAATAAAAATAATAATTATATTTATTTAATATCTTTCAATTTAATAGGTATTGTCTTTCCATAATGTAGACACTGAATTAAAATTTCTAACTAATTTGTATTGTATTAACTTGTAACAATTTTGGAAATAACTGTATATATAATACTGTAATTTGAAAGGTAATTAATATTATTTCATTGATAGTAATTTTTCGATGTTGTTTATTACAGTATTTTAATGATGTAATTAATAATATGTTTATTTTTGTAGTCTTTATGTATGATATTTTTGTAATTTCATTGTGTAATTTTACCTATTTTAATATTGTATTTTATGATATTTATATGTAAAGTGCATTGAACAATGCTATCTGTAGTATCTTAAAATGCATAAATAATAATTATTATTATAATGTTATTACACAGCAAAGCATTATTTACCATACACACATTGTTCAAATACTTTGTTTATTTTTGTAGTCTTTATGTATGATATTTTTGTAATTTCATTGTGTAATTTTACCTATTTTAATATTGTATTTTATGATTTTTATATGTAAAGTGCATTGAACAATGCTATCTGTAGTATCTTAAAATGCATAATAATAATAATTATTATAATGTTATTACACAGCATAGCATTATTTACCATACACACATTGTTCCTATACTGTACTTTATGCTAAAAAATGATCCCTATATTGTACTGTAGGTCTTGGAAGAGAAACATGCACATTGTACCAAAATCACAAAAAATTACGTTGTTAAACAAAGCGGCTATTGTGAGTGCAGATAACTTCAAAAGAGAAGGGATAACACTTTTCTGATGCCATATTTGTGTAATATGGGGGAATATACAGTAAGTTAGAATACCAAGTTTGACCTTGATAGCTATTTCCAATCCTGAGTTATAAGCTTCCAAAGTTGGAGGAAAATGCATTTGCGCATCTTGAAGAGCCACGCCCCTTTTTTGCATGGCGGTTTCAATATAGACAATAAGTAGTGAGCCCTCTGTTGGTCACTATTATACATTTTACATATGCTCGTAGTTGGGGGCGCTAACGCGGAAGCGATATTTTCATAATTCTCCATATATGGGTTTTTAAATGACCAACCAACAGCTTTAAAATTAAAAAAATAATAAATATTCATGATATTATCGAAGAAGACATACTAAACAGTTCCGTAGTATAACATAGGTACGATGACATGGCTCCTGATTTTACGTGTGAGTATTTGAATTTATTCCATGTTTTTCACCCAAAACTTAAGAAAATCTGGCATGTAAAATTTACATGGCTATAAATAATTTTTGCAAATTTTTGAAACATTGCCACTTGCTCCATGTTATTACTATTTGACTTCTGCATTATCCTCTAAAAAATCTCCCTGACAACTGTTCCGGTAAAAATTTATTTAAGTTTAAAAATGACCGTGTCTG